TTTTATAAAAATTATTTCCTTTCTCTTGCGGGAGAAAGGAGTGCAGAAGGATATCTGGTATGGAACAGGAAGCAGTACAATAGACACTCCGTATATGTTCACACATTTTAGACGACGTATTTTGGCTTGAGCGTAATAATGTCTTCCAAAATGGGTAAAACTACGTGAATTCTGTTTGCTATATTCGCGGAGACTTTGTTGAATTAAGGATCAAAACAATTTTGTTAATCCAATGGTAAAAGACTTAGTTCAGATTATGAAGCTCAATTTTAACTTCCTATTCGAAGTCAGTATAAAATATGGGCACATGAAGCTGATATACAAAATTTCCATGTTATTTATACCTTTGTTTATTTCAGAGCCAGCAGCACTTTCAGAGAGTCAGAAAAAAAATATTATAATGAAGTATGATGTATTCTTATTCGTTATGAACATTATGCTTATTTTAAAAGCTCCGTAGCAGATAAAATTAGGTTTAATAAAAGTCAAAATTGTAAAACCTTTTCCTCTGAATTTTCAGACACAAAAAATCATAAGTATTGCATTTATTTAAGAGATTTTTGAAGTTATACTTCTTTAGGCGCGTTATGAAAAAATTATGAGAGTGAAATTTTAAGATGCGCGCGCATCACTGTAACACAAAATTTTAACAGCATGAAGTTGGTCGATTTAGCGACCAACTTCATGCGTTACTTTTGTGTTTACCGCACATTAAGAAAATCTACCAACAAAATAGAAATAGAATCTTATTTAGGGGGTGCTAACCACTGCATTGTGAAGGCCTATCAAAAGTATTTATTAATCTGGAACAACGGAACCAAAGCGCGATTCAGGAGACTACAGCGCCATCTCTTGACCATTGGTGTAGTAGAACCAAAAACCACATCTTTATTTTTCAATGTTACTTTTATGTTATTATTGTAATAAAGTAACAGTTATAGGTATTCATATTTATAATATTTATCCACATTTTTCTAGTTTGTATATTCGGAATACGTGTTTGAGTTTCATACAAGTGCAAATCACATATGTTCTAATAAATTATATTCAGTAGCGATTTTAATTGAATATTTTGATTATTTATTTATTTTTTCAAATTAAAACTGAACTTTATTGACTGTGTCCTTTTCCAGACTTTTTATTAATTTATTGTAATTAATTATTTGCATGCAATTAAAAACTAATTTTAAACGATGCCAAAGAAGGATAACTTCTCACGCGCCTACATAAGTACACGCACCCATTTTCTTTTTGTATTAACAAACTAGGTTATTTTGTCTTCATTAAATAAACGGTATGTAAATAAATAAATAGATTATTGTTTTCTTGGTACTTACATACACCTCAAAGAAAAAAAGCTAGAAATTTTCCAAATGTACCAAATTATATCTAAATTCGTTCAGTCGTTTTCGTCGAAGTACTTATTTTGCGATTGACACCTTTTTTCTTTTTTTTACGCAGGTAAAAAATCTTTTTACAGACGACGGCGCCTCTAAGGGGCACACCGCCGAACGGACCTCACACCTGGCTCCCGCAAGTCTTACGAACCCCCACAGTGGATGCCCACCTGGGACCCCGCAACTCTTACGGGCGCTTTACGGTATAATATCCGCTAAAAAAGTCCTGCGAATACCTTCACTACTGCCTGATGCGGTACCGCGGGATCCCCATACTGATGGGACTTCTCCGCGTCCCCGCACCTTGCGATTGACACCTGAGTTGTTGCATATTCTGTTGATTCTTGTAACCCCAAAAATTCAACGAATGGTCAATTTGAAATTAATCCCGTACTTAGTTAATCATCATCATCTTAATCATCTTGAAATCTCAGAAACACGTCGACATTAGAAAAAAAACAGAACACGTGGTCTTGCTTAATAGCTAACTGAAAACTAGCTTAACACACTAGCCAGGATAGTAAAATCAGTAATGGTAGGACGCTACTACAACAATATTAAATACCCTAGATACACCACGAGCGCTCAAAATGTGTCCCAATCAAGAAGTGCTTCTTGATTCACAGTCACGCGCGGACCGTTGAAAAGTCAACATGCCGTTGAGCTCCGTGAAAACAGGCGAAAGAAATACATAAAAAATGTAAAATGTCGTTTTTTCGACAGGTATCTTATCAATATTTGTTAATTTAACGCATTTGAAGTAAATTTTGTTTTAATACTTACTATAAACTGATTTAATAGAAAATATTTGTGATATTCAAATGCATGGTCGATAATATAGTCGTCTCTTTTCGTCGCGGACCGTAACTGCTATATTACTAACAGCGCATTCAGAATTGCGCGTACAATCAAAGAAATAAGGTCTTTATTCTTCTGCATATAGTAATAAAGTCGTAAAATTTTACGAGCTTACGTATCGGACTGTCATAATTCTATGACGCATGCGTTTTAATGAATACCTTATACAGTATGCTTTAAAGATGATTTTCATTGTTTAAATAATGCCTTATATTGTTTTGACTACTCGATCATCTTACGGAGCTCCGTGGATCGTCCAATGTACCTTGTGGACAGGTTTCGGGCATGATTTTGTTCGTGTTGGTGTATCTAGGGTATTTAATATCGTTGCGCTACTAGCCTAAAAATAGAACGTATTAAAAACTGTCCTGGCGTTGGTTCATAATAACGCAGATTACCACTGTGTATGCGTCGGTGGGAGAATAATAATAAATTTTATTTTCTTTAACATTGGTTTAGTTACATTATATACTCATGATTGAAGCCACCTTTTAAGCAAGCAGAATGTTCCATTGAACACCATTAGCTGCATCTCCATCGGTGTTCATTACATCACGTAACTGCGAACGCATTTTATCTTGGTTCAACCGAATAACAGTTAGGTGGTTCGTTTCGAATTCCGAAACGAAATCAAATAGGTAGTTATTGGCGTTTCGACGAATAACCAAACAATAATTATGCGTAATAATTATCGAGCAGACATTCTTAGCAGTATCCTCACCAAAAATAAACGCAGTAAAACTTTGTATGTTAGAAGATAAATACACGTCCGTGGAAGGAGTAGACCGTGTGATCAGTAATCGTTGAAGACTTTAGCATATTTAAGTAATATAAGCTTAGATTAAAACAAAAAGGGTAGATGCGGTACGCTCATACTTGCATCAAACGAAAACTGATCCCACGGCAGCGCGAACGGGACAGCAAGATCCGCGTCACTGCATTACCGACCCGAACGAAACAGCACGTTAAGTTTCAACGGCGGCGCAAACGAGACGGCGAGATCCGCGTCACTGCATTACCGACCAATCAGGCGGCCAGTACTCGACGTCACTACCGAATAAGATTCAAAACAAACAGCAATTTTTATTAAAAAATATATTTTATAGTACTTACGAATGATAAGTGATGCCGTGGGTTTTATTTTTAGTTCTTGAGCAATTTGAGCACTTTTTAAAAACATACTTTGGCATTGTTTTATAATATAAACACAAAATATTAGCTATATTTCTTTTTGACGTTCACATGTATACGTCGTCGTTTGCATGTCAAGTTGTGACTAAAGCGATTAGGGTCGTGGACCACAATTTGTGCGGATCACTTTTGTGAGGCTAGTGCCGTATCTACCCTTTTTGTTTTAATCTAAGAATATAAGTTATAGTTAAGTTAAATATAGGTTAAGATTGGTTTCCAGGTCTTTGCCCAATATTCTCCGATCCTTACGACTTACTGGGAAATTAAGAGTAGGTAGTTATATTTTTTGGAAACAAACACCAAATTATGTTTATGTTGAAATAAAAACTATGATAATAATACGTATTTATCATATTCCTCCTGTCTTCTTTCCATTTTTTTGTATGCTATTTTCCTACAAGTTTTGTTACATTTCTTTTTATCTAGTATTATACTGATTTGGAGTAAATGCTAAACAAATAAGCTTAGCTCAGTCATGCCTATCGTGGCTTTAGTTGTCAATTGAGAAAGATGGCGGAACACCAATTAATTTTTACGGTGACTTTAAAAAAAACTTTTATACAAACCTTGTCCTGACAATAACGAACACAATAAAAAAATATGAAATTTGGTGTGGTCATTAGTCGTCATTTATACATTTAGGTATAGAATATTAACACATTTCTCGTTCCCAAAAAATAAACAACGACAGAAAGACAGACCTATATATGTCATTCTTATGTATAATCTATACATATAATAAAATGGTAGGAAAGTCAAAATTGTACATTTAATATTTTTTAAAAGAATACTTGGGGTGTTATCTACAAGCGATATCGAATCCAGAAATATAGTATTTAGAACTTTTGTCTGTTTGTCTGTATGTATGTCAAGGATAAACTCAAAAAGTACTGCATGGATTTGCTTCAAATTTGGCACGAATATAATTATGAAGTTGGGTCAACATATAGGCTACATATTATCACGCTATCACCTACGGGGAACGAGCAGTGAACCTTTATTTCTAACTAGCTCCACACGTACGAAGTCGCGGGCGGCCGCTACTTAATTATTATATAAGTATAATATAATATTTCCAACACTCACACCAATTAGCCTAGCCCCAAAGTAAGAACGGTTAGGCTTGTGTTATGGGATGCTAGTATAACGGATAGAATACATATACAGTACATATATAAATATATTTATATAGAAATACATATATTAAACATCCATGACTGGAGTACAAATGCTCGTATTCAACATACAAACATCTGCTCCCACCGGGATTCGAACCCGGGACCTCTCGAGTCGGCGACACCATGAAACCCGGCGTACAAACCACTCGGCCACGGAGGTCGTCAAATTCAAGTAATTATTATCAAAGTCGTATCGTCAAAGTCAAGTAATTATTATACATTTGACCATTATAAAATAGGGTAATAAGTTAGGTTAATATTAATGTAAAATGAGATATCGTTAAAAAAAACACTTACTAACTAGATGTTCTATAGCTATCGTTAAAGTTTACTATACAAAATGTGGCGCGCAAACTTTTAACACACAATTGAAAGGAAATCACCGCGCATGCGTAAGAGTCGAGACGGATTTAAATATAGAATCGTCGCCGGAATCTGCGGTAACTATTTCGATGTCAATGCAAACGGCAGATTCACCGATTTATATAAACGCGAATTTGCTATAACAGTTTAATATTCAGTGCTTTATTGATAAATCAATGTGTATGCGTTATTAGTGAAGTGACCTTTTGTGACGATGAAGAGAGTTTGTCCGCTTCAAAGTCAAGCTCATGAATGAAAAGAGTTGTATGTGTAAATAATTAAAGATGCGTTTACTACTGCTATTTGGTCTACTTTCTATATGGAATCAAGGTAACAGTATAAAAAAAAGATGGTAGTATTACCATGACTGTATTATACAATATACAAAGGGTATATTAGCGATGTCTGTCGTTAACAAGAATCAAATATTTTCTTATTTCTTTGTAAAATCAATTTCAAATTAAGGTTTAGTTATGGTATGCTTATATGAGTAAAGATACCGTGTGACGCGTATTTCTCCATGTGAGATTAGTAAGTTCCGGTATAATAATTAATTTTATTATGATTGTTTACTTTGCATCGTGAAACAATACAAAGTAGTTCATTGGTTTTTATTCCCAAGCACATGAAAGTTTTGCTAGATTTCTGGTTGATCTCATACAGTCTAGAATAAACAAATTGAAGAATCTAATTATGAATATGTTGTCATCATATTTATAATATATATTATAACGGTTCTTCTTATAGCACACCTGATATTTATACCTATACATGTTGGACTCGCCAGATTGTCGGGGTCTTGCTTCCGTTTAATGATAAGTTTATTAAGCCGGGTACTCATTAGCGAGCTGTAACCGTAATGCATGCGTGCGTGATACAGTACGTGGTTCTAGTGTGTACGCTTGTAGCTCAGTTGTAAACGTCGGCTCGCTGCAAAACGCACGCGTACCGCTCCCAGCAGGTTAGCGAACCACGGACACACTATCCTTTTTGGTTACAGTGCATGCACGGTTACGGTTACAGCTCGCTAATGAGTACCCGGCTTAATACGTCAAATGTAACGATTTTAGATACATTTCTAAGACAAGAAAAAAAATAAAGTAATAATTATCTTCTCATCTGCTACGTTCTTATGTTTTTTTTTAAGTTTCAGTGTAAAAAATACCTCAATTAGAGATACTATTGCTACACGCTTCTATGTTGACATTAGTAGTAATTATTTCTTTGAAAGTAAACAACAGAAATGATTATGAAATAAATACTTTTTGCGAAATTGCTCGTGTATTCGTGTGAGTGTTGCACTGCACTCTACTTCGCCGGCATAGTGTAACACATTTCCATTCAAAATTTTATCCACGTTTAAAACAGCCGATCTTTCTGTTTTTCTCCACACCAAAATTCATTAAAATCGGTTATGCTGAGGCCCGAGGGTGTGACAGATAGACTGATTGACTTTCGTATTTACAATCTATCTATCGCACTATCCATAAATGGACTGCTCTGCCTGCTCACATGTTCTCTCCTTCTTACAACCTGGGATACTTTAAAAAAGCCTTAAGAAGAAGCAACATGCAGGCCGGCAAGGTGAGGATGGCTGGTGTGGTAGGTAGAACTGCTGTACCAGCTATCTTTACGTCTGGACTTCACCATTACTTAACACCAGGTAGGGTGGAGTCATCGTTTGATCGTGGAGTCATCATGAGTTTGTCGGACCTATCTATAAAAAAAATAGTATTTGAAAAGAAGATGGCCCTTTTATACCAGTACATTTGTATGCAGTCACTTCTCGGTGTATTACTGTAACCACAGACGAGGTCGAAGCTCGACCGTGTCTCGGAACGTAAATATTCAGTTGGTGTTACGAGCGACGCATGAAAATCTAAAACAAACCTTCCATGGAGAAGAAGCGAATCACTCTTTTGGCAATCGCCTCACGTTTTATTGCCTCTAAATCTTGATTTTGTACAAACTTCCGTTCAGATTTATATATCAATGAGTACTTCAAGTGTTTATTATTATACGATAACTTTCTAAGATTATTATATATATAACTAGAAAAAAATCCACGCGGACCAGGCAGCAGACGGGACTTCAACCCGCACCCTTCGCTATCCGGGCGAATGCAATGACCAATTATGCTACCGCGGCTCTGACGGCCGTGTCGAATTCTTTCTAGCCTTTCTTAAGCTGCAAGGCAGGGCCATCTCTTCGCATTGCGGGTAACCCACAATATTATTTCTAGTAATATTTTCTTTAAATTTAAATATCTAGCAGTTAAATGCATAAAAAACAAATAATATACCTTTAATTGCTATTTCTTCTTTCAAATGTTTAATACTTGTAAAGGTATTCATTTGACATTGTGAGATACCTACAATGCGAAGAGATGGCGCTGCCTTGCAGCTTAAGAAAGGCTAGAAAGAATTCGACACGGCCACCAGGGCCGGGATAGCATAATGGTCAGTGCATTCGCCCGGATAGCGAAGGGTTTTGGTTTGAGTCCCGTCTGCAGCCTGGTCCGCGTGGTATTTTAATCTAATAATATTTTCTTTAGATTTAAACATCGAGCAGTTACATGCTTAAAAAAATAAAATTGTAACTATAATTGCTATTTCTTCTTTAAAATTTCTAATACTTGTAAAGGTATTCATTTGATATTGTGGGTTACCTACAATGCGAAGAGATAGTACAGCCTTGCAGCTGAAAGTCTAAAAGGAATTCGACACGGCCATCAGGGCTGCGGTAGCATAGCGATCAGTGCATTCTCCCGGATAGCGAAGAGTGCGGGTTCGAGTCCCGCCTGCTGCCTGGTCCGCATTAACCTACTTATTTCGCAGCCGGGCAAAAATATTTTTGTCCATATATTTATTTTCCAAATATCTGGGCGACTGAAAATAAATACCTAAAGAAGAATATTTCAATCACTTATATAATTTTGGTGTGTTCGTTTATCTCAAATTCTGTGCATATACGAGTAATAATGCTTTTAAATCAAAAAGTATTCTTTGTTTGAATCAGCTTTTTTGCAAAATGGTCACATATAGATTTGCAGAAGACGATCAGATGAATACTTACTTTTAGAGATAAACAACACCTCAATGAAAAACAGTAAATTAATTGTATTTTTAGGAAATGAGAATATTTAAAAGATTGTCTTTTTTAACAAAAATAAAAAGCGAGTTCATAATGCAAAACCACTCACTGAAAATTAGTCTAATATTTAGGTTATAACTTCTTACAGATGCTGCTATAGCAAGTGTGCACATAACGGAACTTCGAGTGGAAGCACACATAGCGGAGGGTGCAACCGCCTTGCTCGGATGCAAGTTCAACATGGAGGACGACAGCCTCTACTCTCTCAAATGGTATAAGGACGGGAGCGAGTTCTATCGCTACGCACCAAAGGCTAAACGCCCCACCATGACCTTCTACGTTCCTGGTGTAAACATTGATGTGAGTTTATTCAAGAACATCTTAATAGAAAAAAAAATGACGGGTTGCACTCCGGGAGTGCCGGCAGAAGTGAAAACTTTAATATTAACGTTGTGCATTTTTGATATTTTGGAATGGTTAGGGAATAATTTTGCACGAATTGCTATAATTATCAGTATAAAAGTACTATCATGTATGTGGTAGAATATAATATTTATTTATTGCGCTATCGTACACAAATATGACGATGACACCGTTTTTGACCACTTTTATGACTTTTTATGACCACTTATTAAGACACCGTTAAAAAGTTACTATTTGATATTATATGGATGGACGCCGCCCGACGTGAAGAAATAATCTGAAAGATGGCCCCTTTGCGACTTGTTTGACGCGCCCCAACCCTTCACTCACGCACGCATCTCGCTACACATTACTATGTGACGGGTACATATTACAATACGTATTCTCCCCGTTACAGGTGCAAAATACATTTTCTAAAACTGTTTATTGTAATTATGTTTACTTGTTAATCTAGACAATTTTAAAGTAATCGTTACAAAATCATAGATATTAAACTATAATCATAGGATAATGTTTACAAGTTACTTAATTACGTGGTGTTACGATATTTTTATTTACCTAAGCTTTTTGTAAATCTAACTTTTTTTTTCAACTATACGTTCTTGTAGTATTGTAAAACGATTTTTTTCCCGTGCGATTTAAGAAAAAGTTCTTTAAAATATAAGTAGCCCTAATATTTTCCTTGTTTTCATGCATTTCTACAATTGCGCTCTTAATTAAAATTAGGGTAGGGTAAAAAAGGGTACTCATACCGGTATTGTACAGGGCACATACAGTTGTTTTATTTCTAGTAGAACGGTATAATACAAAGAACTTGATACTGTTTTACTGGTAGGAACTAATCCATACTAATTGTATGTATGAATTATGTATGTATGAAATGTTTGAAAGTGTGTTTGTCCGTCAGTTAACTCTTCACGCTAAAACTGCTGAACCGATTTAGCTGCAATTTGGTAGAGATAGTTTGAGTCCCAGGAAAGATCTTTTATCCCGGAAATGTGCGAGGTTCCTGACAGGTTCTCAAAAAACTAAAATTTACCGCAGACTAAGTCGCGGCCGGCCGCTATTTTCTCATAAAATTAGTAATATTTATTTCCTTTTCGTCGTTTTAACAATCAAAAATTAACAATTGATTGATTGTACATCGCAAATATTGCAATAAACAATTTATTAATTAACAATCTCCGATATCACAATCAAAATTGATCAATTATAATTGCGAAAACTCATAATTTACAGTAAATTAAAATTAGGGGCGCGTCAAGCATTGTAAGTCGCGAGTTCCCACATCAATTTATCAATCTTTGGAAGGTATTAATTCAAAAATTTGCAATTACAGCTTTAATCTAGTGTGTGTGTCGTAAGTCAAGGACCACGTGACGACTTCGTTTATACATGCAGTGATTGCAGCGCACGTCGTCGCACTTTCTATAAACAAGTGTGCAATTTGAAGTTTTGGGACCCATTTCTTCGAAATCATGGAGGAATAGGCCACAAGCGACTAAGCTATACTAACAAGGCCATTTAAACATGCGGCTAGCCGTGTGGCGAAGACCGTATTAATGCACTAATAGAACACTAATTCTCCTCCATACACAAAAATAGGGTTGAATTTTTAGGGAAATTATAGTAAACAATCAAAAAAAATATCTTTTCGAATTTAATGTAAATTTTGAATATTAACCTCGTCGTAAAAGGGTATCGTTTTGTTTCCCTGATTCTTATTACGGTAAATATAGTCAGCGCCAAAGTAGGAAAATAAATTGATGAAAATGACATAACTTCTTTGACAAAAAATTGCAGCTATCTTCATAAAAAATATGAATTGTCAGTAACACGAATCGTATATTATTCCAATCATCGGTTGGTTAGGTTGGCCTGGACGCGTAACTGAGATTCAGCGAAGCTGTCTCTTATTAAAGTTTGGCGTCAACTGCGGACAAAACGGGCTGAATTGAAATCAGCGTTAACTTTGGATTTTTGAGAATCACACAAGAAACTAACATTTTGCGGGATAAAAAGTAGTCTATGTCGCAATTCAGGTCTTAAACTATATGCGTACCAAATTTAATCCAAATCCGTTCAGTAGTTTTGATTGAGTAACAAATATACAAACTTTCACATTTAGAGGAGTGTCCGTTCAAAACTAGCTATTTACATCAGAATGAATTTTACAGAAAATTAAAAACGCCTAATATATAGTAATATTTTTAATAATAATTTTGTGTGGTACGCTTTACAAGATATAGTTGTATAATCATCTTTATGAACAACTTTTTTTAACACTTTGTTTATTATTCTTTTCAAAAATTAAGAAGTTTGTAAATAGACACTTTTGATGCAGATGGTAGTAAATAGACACTTTAGTTTTGGACCATTTGGTAAATAGACTGGTTTGATAATAAAATATTTATAAATATCTATTGTTGATGAGAAATGTCATATTGCCACGCAGTATTTGAACTCTTTTGTTCAACATCTCAATCAATTCAACAAAAGAATAAAGTAAATAGACCATTATGATTAGAAACTATAATCGTAAAATAATAGTTATTTATTATACAAGAGTGGAAAGTTCCTTTTTAACCGCGTGCTCGATTTGGATGACCGAGCAAGCGAAGGATTCTAAATTAGAATCCTGAGCGTCAGCGAGGGAAACAAACGAGCACAAGGTGAAAAATCTTTCCACTCGAGTGCAATACGTAACTTTTCATCCCACCTCAGCGAGGAAATGACAAAATGAAAAAGAAAACAATTTATAATGACAAAATATTTAAGCAATAAAACGTGAAAAACTAGAATGGCGCGAAGCACGCAAATAAAACAAAGAAACCAAGAAGGTTCCAAATTTAAATTTTTTCACAATTTAAAAAGTTCTAATCATAAATTTGGCACCATAGAGGTTACATTAAATAGGTTTAATGACGTTTTGAATTTACAATTATATTGAGTACTCATTATATGTGATGTTCTAAATTCAAATCTACTTTGCCGCTCAAGCGAATAAAATAGAATTTTCCAGCCAGATTTCGAAGCGCAAAATTACACTTTCCGAGGTGGTGGGATGAAAAATATATTTAAATTATGTAAATGGCAAGTTTCGAGCAAAATTTATATTTTAGATTTGTATTTGAACCTATAAATAACAAGTTTTGATTAAATTTAAATTAAAAAAAAAACAAGTCTCCAAGCCCGAACCTAAAAAGAAACAAAACGAGCTCAAACTGTAAATAGCTAGTTTTGAATGGACACTCCTCATTTATAAGTAATATTAGTTAGATATAGTGTACATTTGTTAAATTTTATGGAACTTGACTTCATCATTTAACAAATACCATAATGAACGAATTTTTGAATTTACTAGACCCAAAAAACGTTATTTTTAAACTTGTGCGAGTTCCAGATTTAAATACACAACTGTATATACTTCCTTCAATAATTTATAATGAATACAAATACATACATTACTCTCCTACATTATTTAATAACAAAAGTACTGCATGAACATGTTAGCTTCAAAACTTTAAATGGATGTAGCGATGGATTAGAAGTTCTTAATAATTTTGTTGATCTGTTCCTTTTTAATTGATTATGCAACATATATATATCTAGGTAAAAGGCTTATACGGGCAACATTGCTTGTAAACTCAATTTCGTCTCAAGTCCCATAGGTATAGTATCCCAGTCCATAGCATTCGTGGTTTAGATCTCCGATAAACAGTGCGGCCCGTGTGCGAGAAACAAGAATTCTGAACAATATTATGCAAAACAAGTGCGTGGCGGGTCACGATCGATGTAGGGTTCCGTCGTTGTTCTTCACAATGTGCAAAATTAAATTACAAATTTTAAGGGAATTCAGCCAGACAAGCAAAGAGTAAAATTTTATATTGATGTTTGAGTTTTACGCTGTAGCTGCTTAGCGGAATGAATAGTCCATACTGAGTTTTACCACCACCTTTTGGAAAACTACCTAACCTGACACTGCCTAAAGAATTCTGAACAGACCGAAACAGGTGGAAATCAGAAGGTGCAAGGTTAGACTATACGGCGGATGCATTAACACCTCCCAGTGAAACTCTCTTAACTTTTACTAAATGGCTAAAGATGTATGAGGTCTAGCGTCATCATGATGAAAGACCACACCCCTTCTATTGATTGATGCCGGCCGCTTTCTCTTTACTTCTTGCTTTAATCTCATCGGTTGTTCGCAGTAGAGTTCAAAATCGATGGTTCTGCCTGATGGTTACAGCTCATAATGAATAATGTCCTTCTAATCCCACCATACACACAGCATCACCTTGTTGAGAGTTCACCCGGGTTTCGCCAAAGTCTGTGAAGCCTGGCTAGCCTTTGACCACGACCTTTTTCGCACGTTCTTGTCGTACGTGATCTACCAACTTTCATTACCAGTTATCAGCTTTTCTTCAAAAATGCTTGAGTTTCATTATATGTCGTAATAAAGAAGCACAAATAAGTACGGTTCATTAGGTTTCTTTCAGTGAGCTCGTGAAGCACCCAAATATGGAGCTTTTTTGGGTACCTAGCTTTTTTCAAATGCGCCAAAACTGTCATGTAGTCAATGACCTGTCCTTCAGCTATGTCGTAACTTCTATCATATCGATCTTGCTCAACCATTTTTGCATCCATTTTATTCGTAACAGGGCGGCCAGAGCGACGTGCATCTGACATAAAAATTTCCAGATCGAAAACGCTTTAACCAAAAGACAATGGCGAAATATTTGTTGAAGTAAATCTTGAGCGTCTATAGATGTAATTATCAGAAATGTTAATAAAATAATCTCAAAAGATTTATTAAACAATTGTGGAGGATTGTCTAAGTCTAGAATTAAAAACTTAAAAAAGGGAAACACAATTGACTATTTATTTTTTATTTTTATTGTGGCTTGGCATCATGGCTTTTGAGCCATTTATTTTAAGTGATTTTAGTGATGAAATCAACTTTGAATATGTTGTTCGTATGTTTTGCATCGCTTTACGCTTAAACATTGGGATAAATATCGGGAAACATTATTTTGCATTATTATAACGGAACCATACTAAATATTTCCATAATACAAAAAGAGTATGGCGCCAATGTGTTTGCGTTAGAGCAAAAAACTATAACTGTCACTGTCATGCTTGTCATCGAATTGTTGTTATTGATAATTATCATTACCGTTGCTTGTGCTTAAGTGCATGCGTATTGCAAAGATTTAAATCGGCATAGGTACTGTGTTTTTTTTGAGACATGGACTGCTTTAGACTTTCGAAATCTTTCCCTGCGACTGTTGAGTAGTGCTTGCAGACTTCCGAATCTGATATTTTGGACGACTTTTTGCTGTGGATTTTGGACACGATTCTGTCCCATACTGTGGATTTTATTTCATTGTATCTACTACCTACGATATTTTGATCACAGAGGTGGAATAAAAAATGTATAAAAAGTGTTTCATATTTAATTAATATCCCATTAGTACACTATTAGAAATCCTTTTTTATACTTTATTATTGCTGTGGGCATTTTCAAATTGTTAAGTACTTCTTACAGCACAGACATTGTATAGGAACTCAATAAACCTTGTCTGTTATGTATTATTAAGTACCTATTTTGACGCGGTTGGTCAGTACCTACACCCACTGATCATAAATCATAAAAACACATTTTTTTCGTCACTAATCTACGGGACTGGTATACTTCTATAGGGTCGTTCCATGTATTTTTTTATTTTCATACAAAAATATTCTTGAATATATTTTTATAATTCGTTTTTGTATTACTTGGTATGACATAACCTCTAAAACTTCAAAATAGAATATCTATAAATCCAGACTTCCTATAATAAAATATATAAGACGAATGAAATCGAGAATCTAAACTTTATAATGCAATATGCAATTCATGTATAGACGCAAAAAAAAATTTCAACAAAAATTTGTATGGGAGTTCGCCATTGTCCTTTGTGCTACTCTCACAGACACTGCACTAGGTCAATAAACATCACAAATTTTTTTTCGCAGCTTGCCTTGGATTATCGCCTTTTTAATAGTATAATTTTAAAATGTATCGAATTTCTTCATGAGAGTCACTCATCTTACGAAACTTATACTTACTATACTTATACAGGACCAAAAATAAATGTAAATCGCACATTCTTATAATTTGGCAATATCTTTTTTAAAATTTAAACTTTTCAGTGATACCAAACCTTCGATCAACAATTCTATAGATAACGGGTCAGCGAGTAAAATCGGCCTCGATAAATATAGCCTCACTAGAGACGTGAGAACTTATTTTAAATTTGTTCGGTTAATACAAAACGAAGTAGCTCGCTGGCCAATGACTGGTAAAACTATTTCATTTTGTGGGTCATAAGGTGGATTTCACATTTTCCTTTTTTCACCTTTATCGTCTTTTTTCCTATTATCAGATATAATTTATAAAAAGAACAAGAGTTCGTTATCTATATATATAAAACTCAAAGGTGACTGACTGACATAGTAATCTATCAACGCACAGCCCAAACCACTGAACGGATCGGGCTGAAATTTGGCATGCAGGTAGATGCTATGACGTAGGCATCCGCTAAGAAAGGATTTTGATCAATTCTGCCCCCAAGAGGATAAAATAGGGAATGAAAGTTTGTATGAAACTTTATCAATTTTAAACCGATCGGGCTGAGACTTTGCATGCAGGTATAAGAAGAATCATAGATGAATGTCATTGTGTATAATACAAGCCTGAGAATAAAAACTTTGGTCTACACTTCAGCTCTACACCGAAGCGAAGCGAGGGCAGGCCGCTATAAGATAAAAGGTCATATATGCGAAATAACATTTTGTTATTTGTAACCTTATTTCTTTTTGAGATAATTGTAGTTAGGTTCAATTTAAACGGTTTTAAAACATTTATCTCTGTTCATTGGGAATCGAATGTAGCTGCATAAGTTTAAAAATACGCGGTCAGTTTTTAGCGTTGATTTTGTATGCAACCCGTTATCTATACAATTGTTAACAAAAGTAAAATAATACAAACCAACCAAATACAAATGGTATAGCCAAAGATATGTTACTAGAAGTTCATACATACTATAATGCGTTAAGACTTTTTCCCCAACCTATTTTATTAAAGACTTGAACGTGAGACTTACATACTAACGCATTCCTATACTATTAAAATCTTTAAAACATATTTGATAAAATTTAATTGAACATTATTTCGCTAGCAACATGCCAAAATGACAAACCTCTTGACAGACTTGTACTTCGACTAGCCAAACCAAGAATTTTCGAAGCTTCCAAGACTAAGGCCCGTATTACAGAATGACAACTAAGGCCTGTATTATAGAAAGATTCTCAGTGATTGATCTAGTTTGATCTTATCTCGCTATATATAGCTCTCTATCTAATAAAGCGCTATCTCGCTATATTGTATTGATCATGTCTCGCTATATATAGCACATAGCGACATCCCTTTCTAACTGTACTCAAGTAAAGATCAACACTTAGTTGTCATTCTGTAATACGGGCCTAAGTGTTGATCTTTACTTGAGTACAGTTAGAAATGTATGTAGCTGTGTGCTATATATAGCGAAATCCCTTTCTAACTATGCTCAAGACTAGATCCATCACTGAGAATCTTTGTATAATACGGACCTTAGCATCTATAGGAAACATCATAAAGTGCCCTTATCAAAATAATCTTCTATTGATCATAATCCTTCTATAGTCTACAATATCTGTTAAATTTCAACCGTTAACATTTACATTTTAACGAAAAGTGGAAAAGGATGTTTCGTTCGAAATTACAACCAAATTGGTTTTGGGTCCGAAACATCTTTTTATATTTTTCCTCGCCGCTAACACAATGCATCTCACGTTGCTGTCGGAAAAATCTTATTGTTATCGCGTCATCTTTTTTCGTTCAATCTCTGTAATCCGCGTGATATGGTAAATAAGGGCAATTTTTTATAAGGAATTTTCAGCCTTGTGAAGATCCTGCTATATCAGATCAAAAAATGTACATATTTTTGAATAACTCTGATTGACATAAAAATATAAATGCCACCTTAATGTCTAAGCAGATATGTGTTATTTAGTAATATATTAAGTTATGGCCTAAAAAGTGTTTTTAAGTAAAAAAAAACTAATAAAGCACTTAAAACAAAATGGAAACAGGTGTTTTGTAGTTTTGATGTTAAATATTACTATTATTTTGTAAATGCCACATGTCTGCACTTAATTTATAGTTATCTTCGCTGACCTGGGAGCGAATGAAAAGCATTGAACAAATATGCACATGGCGTGATATAATGACGTGTCGATTAAGGCTCATAAATAAATGTAATACAAAAATATATCAAAAATGCTCTGAAAACATTTATGAGTGGTTCTAAAAGATTTGAAGACTATTATTACAGGAACTCACAAAACCGTAACTGGAGCTCAATTTTCAAAATAAGATTAAGAGAAAACTATTTTTAAACAGATTACTTTATATTACACTAATCGGCTTCTAAATATCTGAAGGAATTATATGAATATAAATTATAAATTAAAGGGTGATGATTTATGTTTCTTTGAATAAAAAGGATGGTATGCCAGCCATATGGCCTATCTGATGATAAATAGCCAGTAGATATAGACTGCCTATATCACTGACGATACAAGATTTCATTTGCGCGTTACCTATCGTGAGTCCTGATCCCATCTGCTATCCCATGGAGACTTAGAACTATAGTTAACACAGCACCAGAGGTAGTGAATGCTATTTCATCGTGATAAATTTCTATAATATGGAGGTTACTTCTTCAAAAGGGCGCTCCAATTCAAGCGACAAATCCGCTGTACTCTAGCTTTCCTAGAACTTCCTCACTGTCTTCATTAATATAAGTACGATATTTTTAAGCTAACTCACCCTAATTGCAATATATATCACTGGAGTACTACAAGTGGATATTAAATTAGTAAAGGAACTGTCCAGCAATATTTCCCAAATCACCAGTAATAAGTGAAGAAATATTATTATTTGAGAATGGATAAAGTCAGTCATGAGAATTTCGGGTTGAATGAATCAAAACACATTAATAGTTTAATTATAATCATAACTTGCTTTGCAGAATATCACGCAAAACTATGCGCATAATAACTTAATTAGGTATTATTTAGTGATTGCATACCTCCAGTTCAGATGTTTTGCAATTAAGCAAATTTGCTTAAACTAAAACTTTTCTGTCTGTTCCCGAGTGTTATGTGTTGTTGAGGTTCTTGAATAAAATGTTATAAGTATGTATCTTTATATATATATCTTATTTCAGCTAACCCGGTCGTCTACGAATTTTGTGACTCTGAAACACTTCACGAGAGAGTCCGCCGGGGTGTACAGCTGTGAAGTGTACGGAGAAGGGCCAAATTTCACAATGGACCGTCGTCAGAAATACGTTTCAGTCGATCGTAAGTACAGTAACTTACTAAATGTCTTCGTAATGTAATGAACACTTATCTGCCTCAGAGGGCGTACTCTTAAAATAAATATTCGATGTTTCGTGGACTTCGTCGTGCCATTTTAGGACATAGACGTAGGCTCTACGGCAATAAACAATTAAAGCCCAAATCAGAACTGCCTTTATTTTTCATGTTCATATGATGTTTATAGCAAAAGTGGGGACAAATGAAAATACATATAAAGTAAAATCTTTAAAAAATAAATTTGTCTGCAAATATTGGTATGTATTAGTAGGTATGATGTACAGTCGGGGTAAGAAACGGTTCGTCACCTTACCGATACTCTGATTTACAGATTGAGTATGACATATTGCAATCGGTGGTCGACTGTCAGTCGCCGCCCGTCGGGTTGATTATAGACTACTGTGCCCTCAGCACCAACCAATATCGAATTCGTATCGTTTGCGAGTCCAAAATGTCATTGTCAAATGTGTACTGATTTTTAGTTCTATTTACGGACTTTGTGGCGCTACTGTTAAAGTTTCCATACAAAGTTTGACAATGACATTTCGGACTCGCATACTATTAGAATTCGATATTGGTTCGTGCTAGGGTTACTGGACTTGTTTTCTTCTTTTCAGATTTTATTGAAGTAATATTTAAGCAGCAATAGCCCAAGTAATTTGATTTTTTAAATTTACGTTTTTTTGTCTTTTGAGATGAGCTTTAATTTAATAATAATTGTTTTCTTGAGCCCTAGTTATTTATAAAGGCACCATGTACAGAATTTATTTTTTTATTTTTATTATTTTAACAGTTTTGCCGAAAAATGGGCCCATGATCGTTGGCCTTGAGAAAGAATACCGACATGGCAGTAAAATGGACGTGAACTGCACTACCGGTCCTTCAAGACCTGAAGCCCAACTAGCTTGGTTCATCAACGGCCATCCGGCGCCACAGAACTATCTTCAGGGGCCTATGCTCGTGATTCCGACTAGTCATCCTTATTCCTATCAAACGAAACTAAATCTACGCTTCATCGTCTATCAAAGTCACTTTTTGCATGGAGTACTTATTATAAAGGTGAGAGTTATTTTTTTATTTAAATCAATCAGTGTTATAATTTGTGTCTGTGGTTTGGCAATTTCATTCAAGGCGTTCCGTCTGAAAATTTACATCTAATTGAGTCAGTATAATTATATAAAAGGTCTCACAGACAGAGGCGACCTGCAGCCGCGTCCAGCTTTTATTGGTCAATCGTGTTTGAACACTCGCTTACCTTGCAAACTAGCTGCCACCCCGGCAGCGTCCCCAGGTCACGTCTGTCTGTGAGAAACTTTAAACATAATTCAAATTTTATTTACAAATCCAAAATTGAACTAATTACTATCTATTATACTCTATATTGCATACAAATAATACAAGTAGACAACTTAAGTAAGTAGGCTTTTCTCTAAAGAGATCTCTTCCAGCCAACCTAGGTGGTGTCACAAATTCTAACGTAGCCAGCAGAAGTCTTGCTAAGCGTGGTGATTACGATAAAGCTTCCCCCCCCCCCCCTCCCTTCTAATGACTGACATAAAAAATGCGATAAATCCCCGGGTAAGATCCGGCTACCATCAAAGACGACTGTACCTGGCAACCTACAACACGCACACACTGACGCGAAGTCAACGGAGTGAGAAAAAGCTATTAGTAAGTCACGCTGGGATGTTATCGGTCTACCTGAAGTCCGAAGAGGGGGAGAGGACTCGCTAATCCTCAATTCTAGCAACTTACTATATTACCGGGAGGGTGACCAGCAGAGCCAAGACGGAACTGTCGACCAGGGTAGCATACCTGATTATCAAGAGCATCGAAAAGATATTGGTTGAATGTTATTTAGATCTATGCTCCGACCTAGACATATCCAGATGACGAAGTGAAGGCTATGTATGAGGAGATTTCTAAAGCCATGCATAGTCACAAAACCCATTACACAGTTGTGATGGGGGACTTCAACGCTCGGTTGGGGAAGCGTTGCGGTTACGAGTTGAAAGTGGGGCAATTTAGGCAAAGAAACCCCAGAGGTCGGATGTTGCTTGACTTCCTTCTTCAGGAAACCCCAAAATCAGAAATGGACCTAGATGAGTAAGAGGCGCATTGAATATCAACTTAAGCTGGGAAGATCTCGACTGGTAAGGTCTACGCTCTGACCAATACCAGCACAATTTCAAAACCTCGAGAGCTTTCAACTCGACCTCCAAAGGCACTACGAAGTCCTTGACAACAGCCTGGATGTGGACGATCTAAACAACATGGAAGTGGACTCCCCGTACGGTAGGGTCCAAGTATTTCGAAATCTGCCGTACTAGAATAAAGAAACTCTCCGACAAGACACTCCAACTTATGGAACAGTGAAATAAAATCAGGTTACAGAACTCAGCCGATGCAAGTCAGTATCGTTTGTTAAAAACCTAGATTTCTAAGTCTTTGACGAGCGACGTTCGCCAATTTTTTTTCGTAAAAAGGGCTTGTTTACCTTTCCCGACGCAGGGAAGCATTTTGCTTTTGGTGCTACAAATAACTTCTCTATGTGTTGTGATCGAGACATCTTTTAATATTATATTGTAGGGTAGAGGGTGCAAAGCCCTTCCCAGGGCTGACCACCATCAACAAATCTAAAAACGAAGTAGGTATTCTGGATCACAACAATTGCGTAAACCGTCCAGCAGTGGCGTAGTGAGCCGTGCAAGCGTTTTGAATGCAATTTTGTGAGCTAGGATGCCCAATTCATTTACTACTGAGGCCTACTCTAATTTAGCGAAACTCTTTCAGGTGATTTTATGGTTATTTCTATTCCGCTAACCACAGGGTGTATAAAATGTTTTATAACTTCAAAGAAAATGAGTAAACATCCATCCAAGAGTACGTCAACGACATATTTCGCATCTACAACAGATTTTTTGTTTGTGATTCCAGTGTCAAGCGACAATACCACCGCTATATCACAATGTAACGTCCTACTCCTTCTATGACCATAAGTCTTACGAAAGACCAATGGTAACATTTCGACCGCCTGTAACAAACGAGCCAGGTACGTTATTTACTTTGAAAGGTATTTTCCTAGAGTTAGTTAACACAGTAAATTTTTCTTATTTTTATTTTATGTTGCTTGCATAGTCTTAGCATGTATGCATTACCTATAGACGCTTTTAATATCACTAGCGCCGTTTACCTACCCTTAGATAAACTCCTACACAGTAGAGCCGTGGAACCTTACTCATCGACAGAAACAATACAATATAGTGTGCGTTAGAAGACGTAATATTTCATTTAAGTTCATAATACGTTTCGGATGTCGTCCATCAAATTCTTAAAAAAAACTTTTTTCATTTTCTAATAGGTTTTCATTTGAAATTAGATTCTATATCACACTTTTTTCACTAAAGTCTAAAATGCCATATCAAGTGACTTATTAATAATAATAATATTAATAATATTCTTTATTGACATACACCTCACAGGACATACAAGACATTAAACATGACAGTGAAAACGTACACAATAGGCGGCCTTATTGCTAAACAGCAATCTCTTCCAGGCAACCCATGACAGTGAAATAAATAAATAAGAGGAACAAGAAGGGGGGGGTGTAGTAGGTATGGTAAAATAAATAATGAATAATAGATGTAATAGATATATACAAAGAGAGAGACAAGAGAGAGGTAAGACTTAAAGTTGGGAAAGGAAATAACCTCTAACTTGATCACTAAACGAGCTTAGAGTACGAGCCTTTCGGATTGTTTCAGGTAGTGAGTTCCACAAGCGAACAGAATGCACAGAGAAGGAATATGAAAAGAAATCAGTTGAATGGAGTGGGACTGCAAGGGTTAGATTTGAAGAGGACCGCAAAGTGCGTTCTGATTTGGAATCAAGAAACGAGAAACATTCTTTTAGATAGGGCGGAGAAGTAGGAAGGAAAAGTACAGAATAAAGAACCGTAAGAGTGTGTAAGTCCCTGCGTCGGCGAATAGGGAGCCATTTTAGTTTTTGTCGAAAGTGAGACACATGGTCATATTTACGTAGATTAAAAATGAATCTGATACACATATTCTGCAGACGTTCCAGCTTGTTTAGGAGTTCCTCAGATATGTCAGTATAACAAACATCAGCGTAGTCGATAATGGAAAGTAAAAGTGTCTGAGCCAAAGTGACCTTTGTACTTGTTGGTAAAAAATTACGCAACCGGTTTAATGAATTGTATGCGGCAAAAATTTTCTTTCTTACCGCCTGTGGTTTCCATGAGAAATACTGATCAAAGATCACACCAAGATTTTTCACCGTACTAGAGAAAGGGATAATAGTACCATCAAAGATAATAGGGGGCAATAATCCAAAATCAATCCTATTATTTCCTTTCCTTTCAAAAGTTATTATGCAAAATGACGCATCGAGAATAACAAAATGAATTAGATATTACTTTTTGATATTGAAACTCATTCCTTTATTTCTTGAAATAACATTTACAAAAAAATGATGTTTTGAATATTGTTTCGACAAGAGCAAAATTTTACGAAAAAATAATTCATAACGAAATAAAATGGCAAGTTTGACCCTGGAGCAAAAGGCTGAAATAATATTTCTCTTCTAAGATGGACAAAGTATAGAGCTATATCACGAGAACTCAATATATCGCGATTCACTGTGAGGTTTTGGATCCGGCGTCACGGCGAAGAAGGGCAATTAACAGATCATAGAAATAATAAAAAAAAAAAAAAATGCAGGACGACGACCAATACTAACCGTCGCGCAAATAACAGAAATGATTCGTCGTTACGAAGAGAACGGTTGCACACCAACTAGTTATTTTGCTGCTTTATATGATGTGAGTGCTCGGACGATCCGACGAGCTTTGCACAGTGCTGGACTACACTACAGACACCATGCTATTAAAGTGGAGCTGAAACATTACCACAAAACAGCCCGGCTAAACTTTGCGCGACAACATCTCGATTTTGATTGGTCGAATACTATATTTACCGATGAGAAAACCTTTAAGTCAAGCCAAATCGGAAGATTAACTTTATGGCGCTATAATCGAACTCGGTAGGATGAAGCTCATAATCTGTCAGGTCACATATAGCAAACTTATGGGGTGGATGAGCCTCTACGGCGCCGGAGAACTGGCGTCGTTGGAGAATAGTGCTACTACCATTAATTATGTGTCGTTTTTGGCAGAAGTGATGCTGCCTACTGTGCGCGTAGTGTATCCTACAACAGAATTCCCCTACATTACTTATATTCAAGATAATGCACGGATACACACGGCCCGTGCTACTATGGCGTGGTTCAACCTGCACACCAACAATTCGTCCCATTCAATGGCCCGCTCGGTCTGCTGATTTAAACCCTATTGAAAATTTATGGGGGCTTATGGTTGAACGCTGGGACTGTCAAAATGAAAGGAACCCTCATGATCTTAGATCACACTGTGCTCGAGTATGAGATGATATTAGAGGGACCGATCTATGCGCGCGTCTTGTTGCATCTAGGTGAGATAGACTACGTGCGGTCATAGCTGCTGAGGGAGGTTATACTAAATATTAAAAATAAAGATTTTTGAAGTTTCTATTTTATTTTATTATTTCTTTTATTATTCGTTTTTTCAATGGTTTTGTTTGACATCACGGCTAGTGCAGAGGTCGTCGCCTACTGCGCAACGGGTCGCGGATTCACAGATATTGTTTATGGCCTACAGATAATTTGTCCTGTTCTGGGCGTATGTGCAATGTGCATGTGAGATTATATGTTTGTAATTACACCCACTATACAGAAGGAAATCCTAGTGTGAGGCGATGTATTTAAATATATATATATATATTTAAATATATATCAAACCTTAATAGTAGTCAGTCCATCTCCTAGAGCGATTGATTGTCATCCCATTAAAAAAAAGATAATCTATGGTCAAGTAAATTATTATGAAATAGACATTTAGAACTTGTGACCTAAATGTGTGCATGCAATTGTGATCCTTAAGGTGGTAAACATTTTCTGACCGCGACCGTACATTCCGGCAAAGTTCTTGAGCAACGACCATTAACAAGGAAGCCTCCGCAGTAGCTATTTTACATACAAAAACCTCTACTGCGGAAGTTTATTTGTATGTGGTATTGCTCAAGTAGTTTGCCGCTACCTATGAAGGGAGTGAAATACCTCAAACACCTTTCTCTTTTTTCAAAATTTGTGAGCCCATACTACTACGTTTCCTTTTCTTTTTCGTGTTAACTTTTCGCTAAACAGCATAATAATATTATTGTTCAAATACAAAAATTCGTCGATATTAACCATCATTTTGGAATGCTGACGGGCTGATTGATTCAATTATTGCGTTGCGGCGCGCACTGACTCGACTTTCGAATGTGCTATGACGCAATTTTGCAATGCGGTACTCTGTGGCCCGTCGTCGTCGCGGCTGTAGTATGCGCGAACTAAAAAGAAAAAGCAAATAATAAAAATTTATAGCGAAAATATTGATAAATGGAATACGATTTAAATATATTTATTATGTGAAAAAAATGCTTTGCACGGTGAACCTTAAAAAATGTATTTTTCTTTTACAGATTGCGCTACCACGACGTTACAAAGTTCGATCCTCTATTTGACCATACAGGTGATTCTATACTTTCTAGTATTTTAAGATAATATGTAGGTAATTTTAATATAAAACCATCAATGTATACATTTATTTGTAATAATTTGTACCTACGGATGTAATTTTTATTTTAACATGCCATTTATTTTTAATTGTGTATTAATATTTGCGCTTGCACTCTTGAAGTTATCTTTCGATATTATATTGGTCGTCCATCCTACACTAATTTACGAATTTTAAGTGCCGTAGAGTGGGACAGCGCACCACTAAATTCAGAATTAATCGATTAGCCATTTTAGGAGTGCAGCCCGCACTGGTTCCGTCTTAATGCGATACCATTACGATGTTGAGAAGGTGTATTATGCAGTTAGCATTTTGTACAAAATTGCAAGGTAGCGTGAGTGTCATTTTAAGCCATTAATGGGTCATTATACGAAATGGGTTTTTTTAAATCACAAAAATTAAAGTGAGGATTTTTTGGGTTTCAAACATTTATTTTTTTCAAAATATAATCAAATACCATTATCACAACAGAAAACAGAATTTTCATTACGTTTCATACGTAATAACATGAAAAATCATTTTTTAAGTCTCACAGAATTGACGCACGTTTTCACTGAAATGATCTAAGTGATCATAACTTAAGAATTAATACAGTTATGATAATAATAAATGTTCTACCGAAAACCATTAAACCAAGATAACATAAATTATGAAACATTATTTTGATCAATAATTTTAAAAGACAATAAAAAAAATCAAACATTCATGTCCACGGAAATGATATTTAGTAGGAACGTCATTTCTGTGATACTAAATTATAAGAATCACTGAAGTCATCATATGATAAACTCTCTTATTGTAATGTTCTGGGTATATTCAACAACCAAAAAAATTACCCTGTTTTGTCTCAGAGGCCTAATTTTGTTTTACCTATCAGAATAAATTTCATCGACACGTAATTTAGAGCATAATGGTATAGGGGGCTCATTTTCTGTGTTGCATGTAATAATTGTATTGGTGATAACATTTTTTCTAGCCTAAAATGACGACAAGTGATGTCTGAATGACATTCCAAACAACTAAGTCGCCTGGCTTGAAGATAATCTGGGTTTTCTTTTGCCCAAGCAATTTGATGAATTTTCATCGTGCCTTGATAGGTTTTGTAAAGCTTTTCTGAAAAAGAAGATGTTTTCTATTGGCTTAATAATACATATATCATTTATTGGCACTAACCTAACCAAGAGGTCATTTTTTTCCAAAAGTGATTTTCCATTTTTTTCAAAAAATAATATCAATGTTTGATGGTCTGGAATGTCATTCCCCAAAACCAGTCGTCGATCATTGTCTTTTTAAGTAGCCACCTACACCGTCTGGGGTCCTTTTCCATGACCAGACTCTGAATAATGCCATACAAAAGTGTTTGTATTAAACACCGAAAAAATACAAGTTCTGTGAACAACAAGTTCACAGTAATGACGATCACGGGATTGACGAATCATTTTTAAAATCATGCTACGTCGTGGTTTTAAAAGTTACATATTAATTTATAACTACAACCAAAATAAGTCCCCATGGCATTAATTATGAGCTATGGTGGCAAAGTAAATACGTTACTACATACCAAAAAAATCCCTAACCGAATTGACGGGCCAAACTTTATTAGAAACGTATATTACATATATTTTTTTAACAAAACTTCACACTACATCACCTCCTTGTTGGTTAGCACACACAACTGAACTAACAGCAAAAAGCAGTGTAACCAGGTAATAAGAGCAGTAATTCAGTTCTCAAAAATTTTTGTTGGGTGAAAATAGTAGTTCACGGTATTGATTTAAATTTTTATAACACCTGTATAATGGCTATAAATTTTAATATATTAATAAGAAAAAATAAACTTCTATGTTCTAATGTTTATTGGGATGTGTGAAAACATATACTGTGAGTTCGTTTTAATTCAAGTGTGTAATATAACTTTTTTGCCAGCTTTTCAGACGAAAAATGTGTTTAGAACAGTTCACGGAGTATGAACACGCTTCTGTTTTGATTTTTTTTTACAAATTAGCAGATAAGGTATGGTTGAATTTGTTATGTTTTTGGTAAATAGTCACGATAATGTACTAAATAGATTCTTATAAATAGTTAAACATCACCAAAGAACAGTTTTTTTTGTACTTCGTATAATGACCTTAATAAAATCTACATTATTGTGACATTTCTCTTTTGATAATAATTAATAATTTTAATAAATTAATAATTAATAAACTATTCTGTAAACTTTTTATCATTTAGGACTTTAATGTATTTAATATATTTAAATTAGTTGAGTTTTGAAATGCATTTAGTTTAAACACTTATTTTTATAGTAAGTACAAACAGACACAGACCAATTTATATAGATCTGGCTCCACAAATTACTTTTAACTTTATTATGATTTACGCAGGTGTCCCACAAACATTGCCACAAAGAGGGAAAGTCCTATAAATATTGTAGATAGAAATATTGTAGGCTTTCAGATTTCAATTAGAGTTAATCAGATGTTTCAAATATTTTGGTAAAAAATAATAACGCCGAAGCTCCTTTATTTATTTACAAGAAAGTTTCAGATTTTTGGAGAGAATGTATGTACGAGTATGTCCCATACTAATTATACATAAACTTATTTTCTTACAACTATTACAAAGCAAACTTGTTATTTACTGAACAATCATAATTTTTCCTTGTGACTTATTGTTGACATTTTATCATTTGGAGTGTGGCCCATAGACTAAGGATTTCCTTATTAATTTATAAAGTTTTCTTAATGTTAATAAATTGAAAGAGTTTATGTTAGATTTGCGATTTTAAAAGTGATTTCGTAATTCAAACGACTATTCCAATTTTATATATAAGATGTTCTACTGCATAGAAAACAAAGGTCAAAGGACATCGGTCAACTACCATACATCGTTTTATTTCAAATTTAATTGTTGCGTCTTTCAACAAATGATATATCATTAGATTCTGCGTAATTTATTAAGCTTATATATGTAAGAATCACGACGAAAGAAAGCCGAGGAAAAGTTATTTTGCTCTGAACATTTATTGGTTATGTTATTTTGTCATTTTTATTACGTATCTGTATTACATTTTTTCATTACAGAAATTGATTTTTTGCACAAAAATCATAACAATTATACCAATATCACAGATAAATTCAAACTGTAGTAGAAGCAATTTGAAACTACAGCAGAACGCCGATTATCCGAATTAATTGGGATCGGGGTGGATTCGGATAATCGAAAATACGGATAATCGGACATAGACTGGTAATAAAGAAAAACTAACTGTCACACATGGAATAAACTTTATTACGTTTAACAAACATAGTTGTATAATACTAGATACATTAATAGAGGTAGGAGGAGGAGGAGTAGCAAAAAGAAATCAAAAATAAGAACATTAAAATATGTAGTGTCTTGCCTCTAGCTTTTAACCATAACAGTTGAAATATATCTGGGACTCCAGCGAGTTCCAACTTGTTAGAACTAAACAAAACAAAAATGACTTGGTTTTAATTTTTTATATTACGCTTAGGACCGATTCGGATAATTGGCGACTCGGTTAATCGGCGTTCGGGTAATAATCGGCGTTCTACTGTACTACCAAGCCACCCTACCATTCAGTATGGTCGCTCTACAAAGATCCGGCTAGGTGGGTACCTACTACCGCAGTGCGAGAGAGGTATTTTCCCGTAAAATAGTAATCCTAATGCATTACTGTGTTTCGGAAAGAGGAAACTGTAGCTAACGAAATTATTGGGTAAGTATTTGAAGACTTACCAACTAACGTTTCGGGTGACGTTCGCAGGCCATTGCTGGACAGTAGTAGTAAAGAGGGCATGGCATTTGGGCATCCCAAAATGTTTTAAATGTAAATTTCCACCCGTGCAAAGCCGAGACAGGCCTCTTGTTATATTCAACGAAGATATTCTATTATTGATCAACAAGTACAAGTAAATGAATTGGCTGCTTTAAACCAATAAGCGCGGATCTATCTATGACTGGGCACACACAACCAATAGCATACGCGCTTAGTCAAACGTATTTTTTTTGTAATCGAGCCTTGCTTTCTTGTATTTAAAAAAGAAGTGAGAGTGCTTATGACCGCACGACTGAAGTGAAACTTCTTTAGCTCCAATGATCTGAAAATCGTAAACTAAACCTGAAGATTTGTTGATAGAAAAAAACAATCCGCACTGGGTCCGTTATCACCCACCAATCAGCGCTGGGTCCGTTATCATCCACCAATCCGCACTGGGTCCGTTATCACCCACCAAGGACTAAATTCATGTTTTTGTGACGGGTATTGTTCATTGTTTATCGATCAGTCACCGGTGAGCGCGTAACGCAAAAATCGTAACACATTCGCCAGTTCACTTGAAAAACAACTCTTTCGTAACGTAGCAATCAAACTGATAATCATTTAATTTAAAATGCATGGTATTTGACAGTTATACTCGGAAATCAAGCCTGAGCTTATGACGAAAATTTCATAGGGTCGATAAGTGACTAAAAACAAAAAAAAAACGATCATATCGATTCAGTTGACGTATACAGGTGGAATTATATACAAAATAAATAGCAACACTAAAGTCTATTCATTCTAACTTGTCCTATTTGGTAAACAATCTTGGCACAACTTTTTAACAAAATCACCAATATAAAAATGAAATAATAACAAAGTCAATAATCTATTACAACAAATCGTTATAATAGACTGAAACCTGTTGAATCTAGTTAGCAGTTGATTTTTAATGCTCTATTTTTAATAAAAAGGAGTGCCAAGATTGTTTACCAAATAGGACAAGTTAGGATAAATGTCAATGCAGTGTTTTATTATTTTTTTTATTTTACTCGGCTTTTATTTGTATCAATTACAACTTGTAAAAACTGTTTATATTTAATTAATAATATTAGTAAAATTGTATATTCTAGACATTCAACTTAACAAATATGATTTGGCCGATGTCCTTTCAAAGATCTATGATCCATATTAATACATTGTCCTCTTTATTAAAAGGTCCTAAGTGAATTTAAAGATTTTTTTGACATTTTGATATTTTTTAGCGAATTATCGGGCAAGTGGATCAGGAATTAGTTTGTTCTGTAGTACAAACACTACAACTGTTTTTGTCTTTAATTTAGATTTTAAGCTAGAAGCATATATTGTAAATCACTTATAACTAACAATAATGTAGTGATTGCTAAGCAGTATGAATTAAAGTTGTGTAGTTATAATATGCGACACAAGTGGTCAGCGCCACTAACAGTACCCCTAGCACAAACCAATATCGAATTCGTGTACTGATTTTTAGTTGACATGGACATTTCGGTTTGCATACTATTCGAATTCGACAATGGTTCGTGCTAGGGGTACTAATCCATCTGAAGACCGAACATAGACGTCGATTAATTTTAATTCTTGTAAAAGTGCTCCCATCTGTTTGATATCTCAGAGTGGTCATCGTAAGTAATGGGTGCATTTGACATTACCTATACTGCGATTTCATTCGCACCAATAAAGGGACAAAGGAAACTTAATTAGGCACATTTGCACCATTGATGATGATTACATTGGTGCATACGGTACATCAGGGAAATTGACAGCATTAGCTTAAATCAGCTTAAAAATAACTGACGTCGCTGAGTGTGAGAAACACAATAGAAAGGTATAAGCCATCGTTGTTGATGTAAACGTTTAGTTTTAATGTGTGTTGACATTTTTATTTTTAGAAGCATTTATGTAATATAGTATTTTTTATTTTCCCAAGCTTTTATTGTCGTTGTATATTTAAGATACTAAAAATGATTTAATAAATCAAAGTTTATTTATACATACCTCCTGTTTTTATTTGAAATAATATAATACGCTTAGAATATAAATAATAGGACTATAATACCTGGTTATAAAACATAGCCAGACCGGCAAGGTGAGAATGGTTGATGTGCCAGTGTATAATTGCTGTACCAGCTATCTTCGCGTTTGGACTTTATCACAACTTAACATCAGGTAGGGCAGGGTCATTTGCCTACCTGGCTATATATAAAAAAAAAACTTAGATTACAATAAGTTAAATTTATTATGTCTCTAGATCTCCAGCGCGTGTCCTTAGCACGATGCAATTAGCTTTTAACTGAAGCAATAGGGATGATGACTATTTTTTTTTCTTCGTTTATCAGGTAGATTATCAAAAAGTATTGGGCACGTATTTTTTCTTTTTTCACATAATATGAACATTGCAGAGATATATTGATTTGAAAAGTCGCATGACGTCACGTTTTGGTACAAGTTTCACTTAAAAGTGACGTCACGAGCCCTTACTTCCAAACTTTGACGCGCTATGACTTTGTCATTTTTTGGTTGATTGCCGAAAGAAAAAATTCGTGTCCATTATTTTTTGATCATCTAACTGACGGACTAAATAGAATTTCATTTACTGTACTCCGTCATCACACCTATTATTGTTCACTTTACTTATTTTCTTTTCTTTCAGTATTATCTCGGTGCTAGTGGTTCTTTTTTATGCAATTAGCTTAAGTGCTAGATGACCTGATGATGATGATGATAAGCCCGACATTCTGACGTTTTGGTGTCGTATCTGGCCAACTATTTATAGGTTTTTACAGATTTTGGTAGATCTTGTTTTTCAATACTCCCCTGCACGCAGTGTCCCTATTGCATCTGCGGCATAACACAATACACTGTAACGGTGTGGCATATCCTCAATCATCCTCTTTGTTTCCCTACATATTCTACCGTCTCAACTATCACTAAATTTTAAATTATTTCTTATGCTATTTATTTAATTTGAATTCAATTCCGTCAAGGCTGTAAATTTTTTTTAGTCATTCCAGCAGAAACCACGTAAAAGAAACAATTGTTTTATTATTTCAATCGTCACAGTTCAAAATGTTTTATAAATAATTTTATTAATTTTCAAACATTTATTATACCATTTCAAGCTTATTGTTATTTATCGAACCCCCTTTACCGACGGCTATCGTCACAACACTGAGGCTGGAACCTTGTTTAGTCTTTTATTTTGTATTACTGTTTTTGTAATTTATATTACCTATGGCATTATTACGCCAGTAAATATTATTCTGTCTTCTAATTAAAGATAATGAAAAAAACAAACATGAGTGTTGTGGAACAAAGTTAAAAATAAACATAGTATCCTAAGTACACAACTATACATAATACGCTACGAAACCGTAGCGTCCGAAAAGCAACTTCGCTCTAAAATCATAAAAAAATTATTTATCATTCTGTGATTATATTGTGGTAGAGTTTAGATATAAGGTTTTTACTACCTGATATTTTTTATTATGGATTTAATTATAATACTATTTAAACATTAAAAGGCTTGATTTATTAATGTGAAGAAATTTTAAGTAGATAAAAATTTTCCCGGTCCATGTTTCAATTATAATTGTGAAATTAAACACCGACTTAAATTCATTTGCATCAATCTGGTTCTTTCAGAGTCGATAGAATAAAACTTAATGGAGTATTTCTATGTGAATAATTTCGTTAGACATACAAATATATTAAAAAGTATATGTACAAAAAGACTGGATTGAGGAGTATACATTTATTTTTATTTACAAAGCTAAATACATTGTCATGGGTAATTCATTATATAATTCATTTACATCATAAGATATTTCTAATATCCAGAGCCACGTGGACCGCTCGGTCTTCCACTTGGATATCCATCGGTATCTCCCTGTCCGGAACCTGTGCTACCTAGTGGTTCATTGGGAGATCCTCCACGGCGTTGACCACTAAATCCATCCCGGGGTCCTCCGTTGGAAAAATCTCCATTACCACTGGGACTCCCGGAAAAACCAACATTTCTAGAATTTCCATTAGGTCTACCAGAGGGATATCCTTGAGATTCACCGTTCAAAGTTTCAATACCGCTATTTTCACCGTCACCTGAGACGCCAAACTGTCCCCTATTTTCTTGTCCAGACTGTCCAGAGCTCCCTCGAAATACTTGCCCCTTGGTTCTAGAATTCGGTCCACCTCTAGGGTAACCCATGTTTTCTTGCCTACCAACGAGCTGCGGCAAATTCTGGCTTGGATCTTCTGAACGATCAAATCCACCGAATCTGCCTTCCTGACTTTGGCTCCCTCTGGGATACCCGATTTCATTGTCTTGTCCTTGAAGACCGTCGCCAAAGGTACTGGGTCCACCTTGAGGATATCCTTGAGTTCCCTGGTTACCACCTATTATGAATGTAAGTAACATATTTTTAATTGTTCTTATGACACTACCTCATATTATTTTCTAGGCAGAGTAAATAATATTAATTTAATGTTCTGCTTGGCTACTGTGTCGTCTATGATTTCATCATAGTTTTTATTTAATTAATTAAAAGTAATATATCCCTTGTGGGTTTTTGTATGTTTTCAAAACATTGAATATATTTCTATGAAACGGATCAAATATAACTTTAAATGTATTCTTAACGATTTTGTTATAATAATATATTAAATATTTAACATACCAGAAAATATAAATAATTAAATTAACATACTTTATTTATATTAACATACCAGAGCCTAAACCAGCTCCTGGTCCTCCAGGTCTGCCCAATCCACCGCTACCTATAACATATGAAAAGTTATATATCTTTAAAAAATGTATCGAGTACTTTGAAGCACCTGTATAAAGCAGGCGAGATATTAAAATATTTATTATAATATGAAGTGTTGAAATGTAGAGTTCGAATATGCCTGCTAAATCGAATGCACCCACCCTCGTATCGTATCTGAGGCTTATATCCCTGCAGGCCGGCCTCGTACTCGACAACCTGCTTCCTGCCGTCAGGCAGTACTACGTTATACTCCCCTGTGGCAACGTCACCGTCACGTTGTTCTGAATGATGAAAGTTAGTACCTGTCTGCGCGTCATCCACGTCATAGCTAAACTCGTATTTAGCTGGTTCCTAAAACAAACACAAGTAAGTGAAAATAACTGCAATATGCAAAACAAAGTCAACCGCCCTGTCTGTCTGCAATAATGTCATGAACTACTGAACGAATTTTGTTTTCAGTTAGATAATTTTTCACGGAAGCTTCTTATATGATACATGCCCGAGAACGTAAAATATAGACCAAACTGAAGTGCAGCAAAGGCACAATAGTATTGAATTAAAAATATGAGAACATCATCGATAAGTCTAAAGAAAATATTCCGCCTTCCGGGAATTTTATCTAGTAAAATTTCCTTTAGAGTTATAATCCCGCAGTTAAATGCTTGAAATGTGATCTTTTATATCCATAAGTTCTTACATCAGATTCCACTCCACCGAAATCAGATCCTCTTCCAAAACCTCGTCCAGATGAACTGCCGCCAATGTCAGGCGTTCCATAAGATGATGATGGTGTACCACTGGGCGATTGCTGACTACCCAGGCCGCCTTGGGAACCAAGAGAATTTGGAGATTGGTAAGATAAACTTGGCATTTCCTGATATCCTTGTCTAACATTTCCAGGACCGTCAGAAGGTAAGATAGCTCCAGTATGAGGAGGTCCGTATGATGAATTAGGCCTTTGGCTCCGCCCTGAATTGCCTTGCCCTTGTCCGTTACTTCTGCTAGATTGCGGTCTGCTAAAACCTTGGTCTTTGTTAGGCGGTCCATATGAAGATTGTGGAGCGCCATTACCAAAAGGAGCTTGGCCAATTTGCTGTCTCTGATTCGCTTGATTACTCTGACCAGGAGATTCGTATCGGGAACTTGGACTATTATTGTTTCCTTGTTCGTAGCCTCTTTGTGACGAAGATCCACCTTGATTGGTTGGCGAAGACCTCTGAGTACCTTGATTGAATTTCTGGTCGGGGGGGCCGTAGTTAGTGTCGGGTGAGTTTGAAAACCCTGACTGACTATTTGGAAAATAAGAGTCTTGAGGTTCAAGATGGTTACTTTCTGCACCAGAACGGCCTGCACCAGGACGTCCAAAACCTGGACTGCTACTTCCTTCTGCCGGCCCGTAGACGGGAGAAGGTCTGCCACCACTGTTAGTACCCCCTGGCGGTAAATAGTTGTTTATGGGTGGTTCACATTTGGTCGTGGTCCACACAAGAGCAGTCAACCAAACGATATGCTGTAACAAGTAGGAAAACTGAAGAATTACCGATAACTAACTACATCATAGTTTTTTTTATTATGTTTATGCAGGCAAACGAGCTGGCAGTCCACCTGATGGACAGTGGTTACTGACGTTCATGGACACTTGCAGCGCCAAGTGTTGCGTTGCCAGCTCTGATTATCAATAGTTAACTGAAAATATGATAAGCAAAAACACTTTAGAATTTACGACACTCACTATAATCATAGTTGATTTATTTTCTTCAAAATCCTAAAATTATTCAACTAAGAGGACGATGCTACTTTAATAAGGTTTTGCCTTTGAATAGATTAAAATTGAATAGTTCGTGTTTATATAGCCGGGTTAGAAGCGGAGAGCGTGATATCAATAGTAATGCAAGACGCTCACGCGTGTCGTGTCTTTGCTTTTAATTTCGTGAATCTGCCGGAGAAGAGCCTGGAGATACGTTGTCTGAGCCTTGCAAACGTGTCGATACGGCGCAATTATTTCTATTTATGAACTAAATTGAATGTTTGCATACAATTCATATAAATTATTTCTGCGAATTAATAAATATCATAACAGCCAAAGATATTGTACCTTCTTACTTACTATTTCAAATTATTTGTCTTCCTGGGATTTTCAATAAATGTAAAACATCTCTAAATCACATGTGAGATCACAAAAATATATAAATAAGCACGTGTTGAAATAATAATAATGATTTCATGTCAGACATCCAGATAAACTCCTGGATTACTAATAAATGTTGCCTAACATGTGAGGCTCTATTAAGGTTGGGTTAATCAAGAACATGGATATTTGCTATACCAATGATTTGGACAAAACCAAGTAATCATTTAGATGAAAGTTGTTTAAAAAAAATATTATAGTGAAATATAAACACACTATCTAGTATCCAAAACTATCGACGGCCACAGACCCTTTTTTCATTCCATAGGGCTGAACTGCCTGTGCTACATAGCTACCGCCTCTCCAAAAAATCGGAAAAACAGTATTCTAGTCCCAGAATTCATTCTTAGAGACACGTTAAGTTATCTCAAGTCTCAAGATAGTGACCAAAGTGAATTTATATTATAACGTCATATAAAGCTTTAGGGTGTCTTTTATTGTCTCATTATAGAACCTTTTTTAAAATTAGTATAAACTGAGGATAAGAACAATGTATGCCTACCTGACATCTTCTTGTTCTTTCCAGGCCTCGGTTTTGGTATTTATTTAAATGGTAAAAGTTACTTTAACCAAGTTGATTGAAGATTTGAAAACGATACTCTTTATTATTTACATGGATAAGGCGCAATTACATTCGGCCGTTAGCCAGTATATGAGTGCACAGAGGATGTTACTCGATTTCGGGCACCCAAAGCAATAATTATATTGTTTTCGGGTACCGGAACACACGGGCAAACGACACTACACCCGCGTTCTAGTTGGAACGAAACGAATACGGGCATAATCGACTCCGTTCATTTTCACTTAATTGTTTGTCCAAATTCCATAGGCACTCGTATTCGGGCTAATGACCAAGTGTAATCGCGCCATTACGCTAAAATACTTGATAATATTTCGACTGCATCTGCAGTCGTTAGTACCCACTGAGCACTGAGCCCGATGGTGGGTCATGGCCCATTCTCTCTATTCCATGCAGAGGGAAGATCTGTGTCCCAGAAATTGACTAACGAAAATTATGAAAATACTTGAAAAGTATAAAATAATTTGATTTTATGTGTTAAATCAAAGTGTTTCTTGGGAGTTTACATGGAAATTCATATTTGCTAATAATTTTATAAATGTAAAAACAGTCTTTCATTCCTTTTAGAGCACAATAATAATTGGATATAGTCCTGTCAAATTAACGAATTGAAAATACAAAGATATAGGTAAATATATTGTAAAACATACAATAAATAAATAAATTGGGACTATTTATTTACACCAATTATTTATTACTCAACTAAACTTAACACAATATATAGATAAATACATTATTTTACTATATTAACAACTCGGTAATGATAATGATTTATTTACCAGAAACATGGTAAGTATATACACACATGGTCTTAAAATAAAATAGTGGCACCACATGTCTCGCCGATTTAACAGCATGCAATAAAATAGAAAACCTTAATTACGGTCTCGCTTCTTTAAATAAATTCCAATTCAGGCAACGGTGAGCAACTATTTAACTGATTTAGTTATTGTGCATAAATGGGTAAGATGAATAAGTAAGTTAAAGAAGGTTCTGAAAATCAGGTTCTCAAACAAGTGGTACTGTTGAAGAAACTTCGAATATAAAAAAAACATCGAATCCACCAGTTGATTGTTCATATTTATTGCTTAAATCCTTATTTATCCATTTTTCAAAACAGTTTCCGCATTAAAGTTAAAAAAAGCTAATAAAAATCAGAAATTAAAATGGTATGTTGCAAGCTTAAATTGTCGCAATTATTCAATCAGTATTTATTATAATATATAATTATAAACCCCAATCAATATAAACAGGAATGACAAAATATTCTAATTTCCCATCCGATCATTTTGTTTACAGATTGCAGTCATTGTTCTTTTATGTCTAATAGATAAATCTGTCAATTTATCAGACGGATATCAGTCGCTGAGCTGAACCAATAAATAAGTGAACGAAATCAGGAGTTATCATGGCCGTCCGTCTTAATCGTGCGTTGCGCCAGCGCAGTCGGCACGACCACCCTAAGGGTGCGGCCAGAGTGCACTCAGATTCAGAGTCAGATTCAGATTCTGAAAACAAGCGCGAGAAATAAACAGTGTAGTCGAAGGGTACGGCCAGATTGCACTCCTGATTCAGATTCAGATTCAGACTCAGAAAACAAAGCGCGAGAAAAAGCAGGCAACCTGCTTAGACTACACTGTTTATTTCTCGCGCTTGTTTTCAGAATCTGAATCTGACTCTGAATCTGAGTGCACTCTGGCCGCACCCTAACAAGCGATGGCACAGATCACACTGCACGCCGCGTCCCCTGTTCTCGATATTGACTTGAATGGCTTCCTGTTGCAGAACATAGAATACTATATTCGCTAAAAAAAATCCAAAAGGCATAGAAACTTTGGAGCGGTTATGGCTTTGTACCCTTAGCATGAACCAATATCGAATTCGTTACGTTTGCGAGTGCGAAATGTCATTGTCAAATTATGTATGGAAACTTGAACAGCAGCGCCACAATGGACGTAACGAGAACTATAAATCAGTACACATTTGACGTATATCCAGATAGAATTCAACTATTCAAATTCGATAATAGTCTGTGCTAAGGGTATGCAAATTACCTAGTCAGGTCATAAATTCTGTCACATGTTTAATATAAAATAATTGAAACAAGTTTATTTATTATGTAACTATTTATATACCAAAATGAACTTAACAAAATATAGATTCTTATGACAATAAAGTTTATTCAATATGACCTCCGTGATTTTGAATACAGGCCTTCAATCTGTGCGACCAGTCGTCTATCGCAGCACGAACGAGGTCCATGTCAATATCGGCGGCTGCCTTAATCAAGAATGTCTTGAGTGACTCCAAATTGGGATGAGGCTTTGAGCACGCCTTTTTCTCCAAGTGTTGCCATATCTTGTAATCTAAAGGACTCAAATCTGGACTGGAGGAGGGCCAGTCTTCGTGCCGGATGAAGTCGATTTCACGCGCCGCCAGCCAGTCTTGTATGCTCTTCGCTCTATGAGCTGGCGCCGAATCTTGTTGGAATTGTTAAGAATATTACTAGTCTGTGACTTACAGCACTATTTAACCTATGTATGTTATCTATGGTGTACTCTCTCTGCTAAATAAAATGGCTGACTGCAAAGTATGGTTTCCTTTTATTCTTCAAACTTAATACGCTTCCACTGCGCTATCCACTACAAAAGTAAGTTGAAAATAGAAATAATAATATATAAAGGCAATATTAATGAATGAAACATTATGTCGCAAGAATTATCCAAGTTAAGTGATAAAAGCAGTTTCGGGCACTGGAAGAAATCGACCAAATTTGTTATTTGCTATCGTCAATGCCATCAAACTATGATAAGGTCATAACCTCCATTGAAACAATGACCACAGAACAAACAATAAATATAGAATTTGTTAAAGCAAGATTGTTAGATGCTGAAATATAGTGTACTCAGGAAAATTCAAATGAAGAGGCATTTATAATTTGTTATGGATTTGGAAGAAAAGGACACAGGATTAAGGATTGTAAAGATAAAAAGAAGGATATGATTACTTACAATAATAGAAATAGAGGAAATACATCTACAAGAGGTTACCGAGGAGGTTCCAGAGGAAGATACAGTTCAAGGAGAGGTCGAGATGAAAAATGTGATATAGCATTCTTTGCAGCATTTTAGTTATAACCATGAAGTAAGTAGTGACTGTGTTCAGTTCATAGTAGACTCGGGTGCAACAGAGAATTTAATAATGTCACAATATGAACAAAACATGACCGATATTGTTACTTTAGATAAAGAGGTTAGAATATTTATTGCAAATGGTCAGTATTTAACTGCACAAAAGCGAGGTAAATTACAATTAAATTATAATAATATTTCAGTAAATATTGAAGGATTCATTGTACCTAAGTTGTCACACAATTTATTATCTGTTACAAAATTATTACAAAAGGGCTTTTATGTAAAATTTTCTAAAAATAATGTATGTATAACTAAACAAAAACAGGTAATCTTTGGTAAATTATCAGGCAGACTATATGTAATTAACATGCAATTTAAAAATGAAAACTGTTTATTAATGAAAGATTTATGGCACAGAAGGTTAGGTCATGCAAACAGCTAAGGATTATGAAACTACCATGCAGTGAGGCACCGTTTGAACCATGTATGCAGGGAAAATCAACTAGATTGCCTTTCTACTCTACCCCAAAGCCACGTTCCCGTTATATAGGTGAGTTAATTCATAAAGACATTACAGGGCCAGTGTCGACTCCAACAATTAATGGTGAAATTTATTATCTCTCTATAATTGATGATCACACACATTTTTGCAAAGTTCATTTACTAAAAAGAAAAAAATGGTTGCCTGTAAAGTCGGTTTTACGGGCGAAGATTTTACGTGACAACGTCTTTTTCTCGGTAGAATATTTATTGATATGAATATAATTAAATTGCACAATAGGAACAAGGAATTGAATGAAAATAAGAATTGCACAAATTTTAACTATAGAAATATATTTTGTTTACTAAAACATTGTACATGTAAACTTAAACTTAACACGAGAGACTCATCGTAACGTTACCGAGCGTTACACTTTTTCATAAGTGACTCCCAGCCGCAACCTAATTTAAGACGTTGTCACGTCAAAAGTGAAGCTACAGATAAATTGATCGAATATATAAATAAAATAAAGACACAAACAGGTAACAGAGTAAGAAAAATTAGAAGTGATAATGGTGGAGAATTTAAAAAAGGAAAATTTCAAAGTTTTTGTCAACAAAAGGGGATTATTCTTTTTTTTGACGTGACAACGTCTTAAATTAGGTTGCGGCTGGGAGTCACTTATGAAAAAGTGTAACGCTCGGTAACGTTACGATGAGTCTCTCGTGTTAAGTTTAAGTTTACATGTACAATGTTTTAGTAAACAAAATATATTTCTATAGTTAAAATTTGTGCAATTCTTATTTTCATTCAATTCCTTGTTCCTATTGTGCAATTTAATTATATTCATATCAATAAATATTCTACCGAGAAAAAGACGTTGTCACGTAAAATCTTCGCCCGTAAAACCGACTTTACAGGCAACCATTTTTTTTTATTTTTTATTTTTTATTCGGTAATAGGTAAGCGCTTGACCATAATTCGCCTGATGGAAAGCAATATTCTATTATAGATGGTCTACGATGGAGCGCGCTTACCTAATAAAAACCGGTTCACTCTTGCTTTGAAGACCGTTAGATTGTAGTGCTCGGGGAACAAGGGCTCAGGCAAGGAATTCCACAGTTTGGCAGTCCGCACGATGAAGCTAGACGCGAATCGCTTAGTGCGAGTCTTTGGAACTGCCACCGTGAATCGATGTCGCCTTGCCGTTTCCCTGCTCGTCCGGTAGTAGAAAGGGGCGGGAGGAATTAGCTCATGTAATTCCTCTGCGCACTCACCGAAATGCAACCGAAAATGAGCTGGAACACCGAAAGACTGGCAACTTTGCGTCGGTGTTCCAGGCTTTGTAACTTTGCCCGGCAAAGCGCGTCATTTCCAATGAGCTTTATCGCTCGTTTCTCAATTGCCTCCAACGCAAGCTTCCTTCATATGGAATCGCTGTCGGACTTTGCAACTGGATTGCAGATTTTCTGAGGGGCAGATCGATACGAGTGGTCATTAATGGCACTTCGTCGGATCTGCTTGGTATTAATGCCGGTGTCCCCCAGGGATCTGTCCTCTCCGCAACTCTTTTCTTGCTGCACATCAATGATCTGCTCCTAACTCCCGGTATCTTTGGGTATGCAGACGACAGCACAGTTTCGGGGAGATATCTGCCTGATGTGAAGTCTGATGCAGATGTCCGATCATTAAGGGAGGCGATGGTGGAGGGAGTGAATGCAACCCTAGAAGCTGTTTCCCTCTGGGGTGAAGCCAACTTGGTTGGATTCAATCCCTCTAAAACACAGGCCTGTCTCTTCTCGACGAAACGGAGTCCATTCCATCTGACTCCGACTTTCCGAAATGTCTCCGTGCCGGTTAAAGACCATCTCGAGGTCTTGGGTATGGACATCTCATCCAGCCTCAATTTCGGTCGCTACATCGAGTCCATTGCTAAAACCGCTGCCAGAAAACTTGGAATACTTTCTAAGGTCAGGCGATATTTTACATCTGAGCAGCTCCTTAACCTTTACCGAGCCCAAGTTCGCTCCTGCTTGGAGTACTGTTGTCACCTTTGGGACGGATCTGCTCGGTATCAGCTGGATGCACTGGACTCGGTGGAACACCGTGCGAAGAGACTCATAGGCAATGACGCTCTCGTTGAGGCTAATCTTCAGAGTCTTGACCACCGAAGCGAAGACGTGTAGCTTGCCTTTCGGTGTTTTATCGGTTACATTTCGGAGAGTGTGCGGAAGTATTACATAATTTGATCCCCCCTTCCCCTTTCCACCACCGGACGACCAGGCGCGGCGAGGGCTTCCACCCTTATGTTGTCGAAGTTCCTCCCATTCGCACGAAGCGATTTGCTTCGGCCTTCATTATACGAACGGCTAGGGAGTGGAACACCTTGCCGAGGTCTGTTTTCCCGGACCAATATAACCTGGACATCTTCAAGGCCAGAGTGAACAGGCATCTTCTAGGCAGGCGTGTACCATCCTAGGCCTCATCATCGCTTTCCATCAGGTGAGATTGTGGTCAAACGCATTGCCTATCTAGCATAAAAAAAAAAACGCCTCAAGTTGGTACTTAGCCGATCCATCCCAGAGGTGCAAACAATACTCCATGCACGACCGAACTTGTGCTTGATATAATGTAAGTAACTGTTCCGGCTTGAAGTATCGTCGCACCTTCGAGAGGATACCCAACTTCTTGGCTGCTAATTGGGCCTTGGACTCAATGTATGAGCCAAAGTTGAGGGTTGGTGACAATGTAATACCGAGTAGCTCGAGATGGTCGCTGATCGGTAAGGTTACATCCCGGAAAGTAGGGGCCAGATCAAATGGCCTCTTTTTTGCGGT